GGTTTGATTTGTACTTTTCTTTGCCTAGATTTCATCAACAAAGTAGATGACTAAATATGCACTATTACTCTTTTCGGCGTCATTACTTTCGACATTTTCATTTTCGGCATTTTGTTTTTCTACATTAACAACTTTCGACATTTTTCTGTTCGGCGTCCTGCCTTTCGACATTTTTATTTTCGATATTTTTTTTTCGACATTTTCACTTTCGGCATTTTCCTTTCGACATTTAGCTACTTTACCATTTTATCTTATGGCAGATTTTGATGATTATACCCATGTCAATATCTCAACTATTCTTTAAATGAAGATCACATTTTCTACAAAGTTAATATGTTCAATGAATCAGTCTTTGTAATCAAACGAGAAGTCTTCATTAAAATCAACTCGAGTTGATGAATTAATTTGTTTTGGGTCCTTATATAAAGATGAATCATATGAAAAACTATTTTTTGATTCAGTGATCAATTTTTGACTCGAAAACTGATCATTATTAAGTTTCATAGGAATTTCATACAGTACACGAGAAGTTTGGTTATGTGCGTGAAGCTAAGAAATGTTTAAATCTTTTGTAAAACAGAAAAGAAAGGCAATAATTGATAATTACTTTCTATAGGTATCATCTAATAAATTATAAAATTTTCTGATTACATTTTCTCTTTCTTTTGAAATTTAAAAAGAAAAACAAGATTAAGTGCTAAAGTGTCAAAAGACCGAAATTCAAAACGTCGAAGAGCAAAATACCGAAGGAAGAACGTCCAAAAAAAAAACATCGAAGAGTCAAAATGTCGAAGGAGTAAAACATCGAAAATGCAAAAATATCGAAAAACAAAATGTCGAATGTACAAAATGTCGAAAAGTAAAATATCGAAAATATTGAATATGAATGAGAGTACCGATAAATTTTCTAATAGTTCATTTTCTATTATTTTATGTCTGCGAAATGAAAGTAGATACAGCTTTTTGTATTATCGTTGAGGGTAAGAAGAAAGAAAATAGATAAAAAAAGTGTTATATTTTAATTCAAATGCACAGAAAACCTTTTGCAGTTGCTTTATTCATCTTGTACAAATAATTATCATACACCAAAAAGGGCTTTCCCTTGTTGCTTGTGACAAAAGAAATACTTGTTGACATGTAAAGATAAGTAAAGTAAATACTTATGTATTACGACACGATAAATGATTTAATGCACATATCCCATGTAGCCGATTTTATGAAATAATGGACATTGCAATGCATTATTTTACAATAGAAATGCAATGGATGCAATTACATGATAATGCAACCTATTTCATGCATTATAATGCATTATTTTTATTAATCCATTGCAATACATTGATTTATCAACGCATCATAATGCATTTTTTTTATAATAATGCATTACAATGCATTGAAAACTTCATATTTGGCACTTGCTATACAAGATTTATATAATCCTATTAAATCGATATCCTAATCACCATAATTGTATCTCTGTGGTTCTGCACATCTATCTCCTTAACTTAACCTTTTAACCTTAATCTATCCCCTTAACTTAATCCTTTAACCTTAATCTATTAACTTATCGATATCTATCTCCTTAACCTTAATCTGTTAACTTATCTATATCTATCCACTTAACCTTAATCTATTAACTTATCTATCCCCTTAACCTTAATCTATTAACTTATCTATCCCCTTAACCTTAATCTATTAACTTATCCATCCCCTTAACATAAATCTATTAACTTATCTATCCACTTAACCTTAATCTATGAACCAGAGATCCGAGACTCGCCGAGTTTACTCGCCTCGCCTCGCCTCGCCTCGTGGCGAGGCGAGGCGAGGCGGCATTTTCTGCACCGCGGCGAGTACGAGTTGATTTTGTAACTCGCCGAGTCGACTCGTCTATACTTAGAATGCTATTTTTGATGAATAAATGGCAAATTTTTAAGGAAATCTTTCGATTTTATTGTAATTGTTTCTAAGCGTTTCCATTTGTAGTGAAGTTTATCGAATTAAGACGATAAATTAGTATACAGGGTGCCTCAAAAGTCAGCTAACAAAAAGAAAACCGTATATCTCCACAGAGTTATGACCAAACGAGCTGATCTTTTTCTAGATGGTAGAGGATACTTTTAAATTTTTATTTATCCAGCAGCAGTTCATGAACACACGTGAAATCTAGCATCGTCTACTTCAGTACGGAATTTGGCCTTCTTTCCACACACTTCTAGCAGTAGTCAATCACAAAAAATAGAATTGTATCCTAAAGCTTATTCACAAATTCCATTTTGTAGAGCTTGTTATGATGATCATTTTGGAAAAAAATGCTGTATTTTCATCAAGAAATGACGGTATCAGAGTCAAAATACTAGAAAATGTCGTATTACTTCGACCAGTACTATTTGCCGTTTTCCAGTATTTTGACTCGAGAAACATCTTTTCTTGATGAGCATAGAACATTTTTCAACCAAAACGATGAACAAAGAGCTCTAAAAATTACTTGTATCATTTGTCAATAAGTTCTCGAATGCCTTTGCGTTTTTGTTCACTATCCATAGGAGTACTTTATCAAACTTTAACTGTACTCACTAGTGTTTTCAGATCTTTTCAGTGCAAAAAGATTTGAGAGAATTTTGTGAAGTTAGACAGAATAGAGAAAACCGAAAGAATTCAAATAAAACATTACACAATTTTGAAAATCTAAGAACAGAAATTCGTATCAGATTACACAAACCCAAAATCTCTAGTTTATCTTTGGCAGAAATGTGACTTTTCCTCTTTTAAATGAATGATAATAATAATTCTAAGTGATGCTATCAAACCGTTTATTGATGAATAAAAACTTGGAAATATCCTCTACCATTAGGCAAAAATCAGTTCATTTGATCATAATCCTGTTCAGATGAGCTGTTTTCTTTTTGTTAGGTGACTTTTGGCACACTCTATATACACATATGTTCAATTATTCAGTCTAGTCCAACTATTGCACTGATGTAGTTCACAATGCATTGTTTATATGCAGTAAAAAAAAAATGATTGTTATTTATTTGATTCTCATTTATATCTTTGTCTTTTTGAACTTATTTAAAAGTCTAAAATGTTCTTTATTTGATTCTATAAACTAAAAAGATAGTGATTGTTATGGGTGGTTAAGAAACTGCCTAAAAATAACCATTTTGTTATAAACTCTAGGCGAGGCGAGGCGAGGCGGGGCGAGTCGGAGTCTAAAAAAGGCGAGGCGAGGCGAGGCAGCGATGAGCAACTCGCCAGCATGGCGAGGCGGTGGCGAGTCATTTTTTTGACTGACTCGCGGATCTCTGCTATGAACTTATCTATCCCCTTAACCTATTAACTTATCTATATCTATCCCCTTAACCTTAATCTGTTAACTTATCTATATCTATCCCCATAACCTTAATCCATTAACTTATCTAAATCTATCCCCTTAACCTTAATCTGTTAACTTATCTATATCTATTCCCTTAACCTTAATCTATTAACTTATCTATATCTATCCCCTTTGCCTTAATCTATCTCTCGAACTTAACTTAACCCCTTAACTTTCATCAACCCTCTTATATATATCTATCCCATAATGTATCATTTTGATCATATCAGATAAGAATCTAAAACAAAAAGACAATTAATGAATAAATAAATTTATTATTATTAAATTCGAACTTACCATTTCGATCATCATCGATATCAACCTAAAACACAGGAAAAAGAAATAGAAATAATTTTAATATTGAATTGTAACTTACCATTTCGAGCAGATCGATAAGAGCCTAAAACAAAATATAATGAATAAATAATTTTATTATTATTGAATTCAAACTTACCCCTTGGATCATGTCCAATTGTAGTTGAAACCGAGAACAGTTCAAGAACGTATATATGACATAAAACTGTTTCAATAGTATTAAAATGGTTTCAGATTTGGAAAACAAAATGATTCATTATCTAATCGGTTATACTTGATACTGTGAGCAGTTTTAGTTCACCAGATACATCCGAAACTGAGCAATAACGAAGAGGGAAAACCTCTTGAGAGGTCTAAGACTGTGATCCCTTTCATTCTACAGAATATTCTAAAAGCATTCAAAACTTTAGTAGCGTTTCGTTGCATCAAATAGAAACTCGAGATCGGATTTCGGTTCGTTGGTGCACATTTGCCCGATTGAGTAAACTCGGAAACTCTTCGGCTTGCCTTGGGAAATATTTTGGAACCTGAAAGGGTAATCTGATATACCTCATCAGATTTTGGCTCAAGTTTTCAATAGTGTAGGTTTCCTTGAATACCCTAGTGATTTCTAAAAATACGATTAGGTTTCCATTATCAGGGAAAATGGATTCGAAAAATACTCTGAGCGCTGTAACTCAGGTTACATTTTTTATTAGTTCTTTAACTTGCGCAACTCTTATTGAAAAGCACCTGATACACAGAAAGCTGCGTTAGATCAAATATCTACCTGTCAAATCACTTTTCAATATCTCTTTTACAGAAATGGTGAATTCTCTAATTTAAAAACATTACTCTAAATAATGCATTGAAATACATTGAATAATAATACATTATCCTCAATTTCTACATTATACCTGATAATGCATTGAAATATATTGAATAATAATGCATTATCTTAAAATTCTCCATTATTTGGAATAATGCATTGAAATGCATTGGATAATAATGCATTATTGGAATTTTCTACATTATTCTAAATAATGCATTACAATGCATTGAAAATTTAGGCATTATCCTTCATTTTCAGCATTATTAGAAATAATGCATTGAAATGCATTGAAAAGTCAAAAAATAATTAATTATAATGCATTAATTCATGTTTTTCTTCAAATAATGGAAAATAATGGATCATTTTCCATTATTCATCCATTATCGGCTACATGGGATATATCGTTAGAAAGACATATATATGGACGAATAATAAGAAAAAATAGTTACTGAGTGAAAAGAAAGATACTAACTGAGTTTGTGACAAAATAAAGGAAAAACTTACATACGTGCACATACCATTGCAGAGAAATATATCAACAATAATGTAAGAGAATGAATAGGCTATGTGCAGGGATGGACCGAATCAACTAATATTAGGGGGGTGTAATCAACGACGTATTCAGGGGAGAGAATGGGGGGACCGATCCCCCTCCTAGCATGTTTAAATATCTGAAGGGGGTACGGGTTTATTGTTTTTCCCAACTTAAAAGCTACCTTTTTTCTATGGCGGTCCCCCTAAAAAAATTTCTGGATACGTCGCTGGGTGTAATGAACTTTTTGGGGAGTGGAGGTTAACTTTTGGGAACCTTGGGGGGGGGGGGGGGTGTAATGTTATTTTCGTTGACAGAACACAAGAAAATTTTTGAATTTTACCAGGAAAATGCAAAAATTTTCGAGGATTGGGGGTGTCACACCCCCGACACCCTCGATCAGGCCATTCCTGGCTACGTGCATGCATCTTTTTTTTCTGTGGTACAAATTAGACCATTTTCGACATTTTGCACTTTCGGTATATTTTTCTTCGATTTTTTGACTTTCCGTATTTTATCTTTTCGACGTTTTTCCTTCGATATTATGCCCTTCGACATTTTTTTTTTCGATGTTTTACCTCTTCGATGTTTTGCCTCTTCGATATTTTTCTTTTCGACGTTGTGACTTTCGATCTTTTGACACCTATTCGATTAAGTTACTCATACAATTTTACGTTTTCTTTTATCTATCAAAAGAAAGTACGTAAGGCAGAGTGGAAAAAAAACTACTAATTCTAAAAATTCATATTTGAGACAAGAACATTTTATATTACGAAGTCATTATATTTTGGATTTATCGATAAATAAATACTTGTTCGACTGCCCTCATTTATAGAGAAACGTCATTTTTTTTTGTTTTTCGTTTTGCTAGGATTTCATCAATCAATCAGTTTCATTTTGTAGAAGATATTTTGAAAAATAAAATGCTATAACATGAGAAGATTGAAAAATAAATTAAAACAGCAACTATCATCGAAATGATAAAAAAGGTATTTTTTGAAGAAGAAATATAAAAAAAAAACATTTTAAAATTTCTTTCGTTTGTCATCAATATTTCAAGGATATTTTATATTTTTGAGATTTCGAAAAGTTTTATGAGCAAAGAGAAAAATAAAACTTTATCTTTCTCCTAAAAATGAAACATTCATTCATAATAGAAATATAAGTTAGGAAAAGAAATTCTTTTTGTAAAAACAAATCAAAAACAAAAAAGACACCGGAGCGTGAATGACTATTGTACTGTATGTTATCATCATTCGAGTATACCAATTATGATGATTTTAATAAAAGAAAAATAAAACAATATGCAGAGAACTTTGAACAATTTTCAATCAAACTTGAAAATTAAATAGAATCATCTCTTATAGAGATCGACAAATGTCATGATATTTCTATTAATATTATCTTAGACGATAATGCAATTATGTAATAACAAAGAAAAAAAAAACTGAAAATAATTAGCACTAATTTCTTCTGACATATAAAATTTATCGATAACACTTTTCATTTTAAATAAATATTTATAGAATAATTCTACATGAATTTAATAAACCAAGATTTCCATATGTCAAATACTCATGATCTCGAATGATGGTATAGTTAGACGTAACAAAGTCAGAAAAACAAAAGAAATATCGCCGTGAAAAATGGTCTGAAGGACATGCTTTATTGCGAAATAAAAAATCTATAGCATTCTTAATGCCATCATAATAAAGATATTGTCAGTATAATGTTGAATTGAAATTGTTTTGACTTGTTTCAGAATATTCATTTTCTATGAGAAATATACTATAAGTATATCACAAACAAAATCATCTACTCGTATATTGTAATCTTCAATTATTATAAAACTATATTTACATCAAACTAATTGATTTAACTCATTTTGTGTAAAAAAAAGTACATGTTGATCGTAAGTGTTTGGACATCGAGAAATGTGTCCCACATAAGATCAAGTATCCTTTTCTGTGGAGAAGGATGTAAGAAATACGTATAACATAATGAATATATGAGTCAGAATTATTATATCTTTCATTGATATAATCAAAGCCAAATTCATTAAACAATGTATGTACCGTTAATGTACGTACTAATGAAAGAGAGACATATACTATAGAACTATATAAATTAATGATTATACGATTGGTATTTTTATTCTCATCCACACAACAGAATTTTCTATTTTCAGAGAATTGATAGATGGTTTCAAATTCTTTTTGATCAAGAGAGAGTAGTTTATTTTTCATCGATTTATTTTTGTTTCGTGAGACTTTTCATAAAAATGAAATATTCATCCAAAGATAGGAAAGATGACTCGAAAAAAACATGTTCTTTTTTGTTTGTTTCATAATTTCGATTGATAATCGGTCAAATTAGTTCATGTTTGCCTCGTTTCACACGAGAATAGAGCAAAATGAGACGAACATTTTCTTGTCTGAGGAAAAATACTTGAAAACCTACTCGAGAAATACTAGAGGTTTTCAAAGTTCTCCCCAGTTGGAATGATTCGAATCACCTTAACTGGTGTAATTCAGATTATTATCTCAAGGCTCTTACCATTTTTATAAAAACTCTAGAGATAAATTTTATTCGATGTAAGATAGTTGAACAATGGTTGAGATAAATCAATTTTTTTGACTAGTGATCTGCATGATACCAAATGGCTACATTCACTATTATAAAATCATCTCGTGTTATTGTTAATTTTATTTTCATTGTTTCTTTTTTTAAATGCGAAATGACAATCTCATAATGAAGATTTCTTATAGCAAAAAATAAAATAGCTATCGCTTTTTTCAGCGAAGATCTAAGTGTAGTATCTGTTCTTGTCGATTTGAAAGCCAGCGCTGATTTTATTAGATTTAGGCTCTTTCATGCGGATTTTTGAAAATCGGTTGAGACCATCCTAGTTCATCCAGAGTTATGCCATGAATCGTCTCAAAATTACTGTGTCATCTGGTTTGCTTGCTTTGAGTATGATGGAATGATTTTCGTTATCTGATAGAACTGTTCAACACATGATCCTTCGCTAAAAATTGGCAGCACGGATCTATAGAATTAATATCAAGTTACTTTGTAAACGAGAACGACTAGCTAATATTTTATACTCACATCGACCAACAATAAATACTTCTATTATTCGTTGTTTGTAGACCAAGAAATTAATTTGATTAATATGAATCATGAGCGAGGTGGAAAACATGTTAGCTAATTATATTCAGAATGAATCTTGTCAAACAATCAAGTTACTTATGAAATTATAATTTAAATGTCAATGTGGGAAAAGAATTTACAAAGATCTCCATTTGAACAAGACTTTTTTCCATAGAAGTCTCTTGTATTTGTCTATCCATATAAATTATTTTAACATATTTGCAGCATTGTATCATAGGTTTCTTAATAATTTGTTTGTCGGAAATTCTTAAGTTTTCATGGAAAACATATTGTAGTCAATATAACACACGTGAAAGTACAGTTGACTTACAAATCATTTGAGCATATCCTCTGTATCTCTCCTCTTACAATATTGACTACAATAAATCTTTCCCAAAATCTTTAGAACTTACAAAAAAAGAAGTTAGTAAGAAAAAGAGCTCTCAGGAAAAGAAAACGAAATTATGATTTTTTGTTTATCACCTAAACTATAAATCGAAACGATCCATATAACTATGACTATGATTAGAGAATAAATGTCATTGGAATTAGATAATTTGAAGATGATCCTGAAACAACTATTCACTAAGAAATCTTAATAATTATTGCTTATGTTTAATGTGAAATGATTCTGTTATCATCTGTGTAATTGAAG